CGTTAGCACTGAAGCTCTGCAGCAGACAGCTTAGCCATTTACCTTTCTTAGTCTTTGCAGCAACGGCTGGCACTAAACTTTCACTTCATTGTCAGCTTTATAATCTGTTTTGGCTATCCTTTGTTGCTTTTCCATTTGACTTCAAATTACTGTGGTATATTTCATGGAGCCAAGATTTTTTCCTTGGGATTTTGAAGTTACTTCATTTCTATCCACTGGGAACATAAAGGATGTTTTCAAAGGCTGGCCATTTAAAATACCTGAAAAAGAAGAGGATGGAGGCTTGGCAATGATTTGCAAGAGTGAATTTATTCACAATTTATGCACGATTGTAAATACAATTTATGTGCACATATACGACACACATATATATTTCTGCTGTCTTTCCCCTCCATAAACTAATGTCATATCAATTTGCTTTATTTAATCTTAATTAAGAGAAGTTACCAGAAGGTAGCAGTTCTGGACTGAACTTCAGCAGCTGTACCCAACTTTACTCTGTCCTGTATTAAACACAGGAAACGAGTATGATGGTTACTAACTGCTTTCCATTCTCAGATTGATGTTTCTTTTGGTGACTCCATTTAAGAACTGCTTTTGCTTTACTGTTATCCTTTCGGAAGGGATAACCAAAGTTCAATAAGTTCTCTTATACTGTCTTCTTGAGACTGTCAAGTATAATGCCATGAAGCTAGTAACATCCTCAAATAGTTCAGTTAATAAAGTTGCCCAGTTTGGCAGCTAAATAGCAGCTGTTCATTGAAGTCACTACTGACATTTCAGTGATAATTCTTTGTTGTGCAGGGGAAGAAATTCATGTGGCAAACCTCACCGAGAGCCCTTCTGTCTCTTTATTGGACATGTCTTTCCTGTTAGGGAGAGGAAGGTTACAGGTCTTGTGGGTTTTTTTTGTTTGTTTGTTTGTTTTAAACATATGTTTGACTGACCTATCCTCCTTTCAGGTAGAAAGTTAATGCTTTCATAGGCATATTTAAAAAAAATCCACTGCATTGCATTTCTTGAAGGGTGGCTATCGATGTATGCCTTTGTATGTTTACATTTTTTTCATGCCATCTGGTTTTAAATGACAGCACTTTTGGCAAATATTCAACAGCTTTTGTAAGCGTTCTACTGAGCTGTTACTAAATAAATATGATATACGTGAGATGACATGGGCCTCCTTTGACCTACAGGAGGGCAATCCAAAGAAGTTGTTCTTACTGTAACTTAGATCAGTTCAAAATCTATAGAAGAACCTGCAGCAGACTTGACGTGGGTTAAGTGTTCAAAGCCAGCTGCCCAAGCAAGGCAGCTCTTGATTAATTATGTAACTAGCACGTCTGGTATCAGACACTGTATTTATATCATTATGTATGTTTTCTTGAAAGGTCTGTGGGGCACAAGACTCATGGAAGAGAACAACACTAGCAGAGAGCGATATCTGAAAAGTGTTTTACGGGAGCTGATAACATACCTGATTTTTCTTGTGGTCTTGTGTGTCCGTAAGTACCACTCAGCACTGCTGTTTGCAATTCTATATTACCTGTATGCCATCTGTAATTCCAGAGATAAGGTTGTTACGATGGTGTAGGAGAATAATTAATGGGTAGATGTGGAGGCAAATACTTGGAATTACTGGTTTTTTTTCTTGTTTCTACGCTCCCTGTTGCTTGCGATTGAAAACATTAAACTTTCTGTGCCTTAATACTTTTTGAATCCTTAAGTGGGATGATAATATGCATATTATTTACTTTTTAGGGAGCATTTTTGAGATCCTGGGCATGAAGCATTTTTTTGGTGTAATACTTAGATTGGGGTGTAATGCTTCTGCTATGCATTGTGAAGTTACTAAGTGGAGCTATCTTTTGTTAAAGTAGGAGTTAGCCACCTAGGACCAAAAATTAAATAAAAAAAATCTCTTGAGTTTCAAACGTATCACCACATTTATGTACAGATCATTCTAAGAGCAGAAGTTCTTGATAGCAGCTGGAAAGCCAGGGATAGTGCTAGCTACTTAGGAAAACTTGATAATTTGAGTTTGCATGACACTGGAAATTTTAAACACATCTGCAGTCTCACTTAGGTGTTGCGCATGGAATATGGCTGAAGACTTCCATGGTTTGTGTGTGTCATTTGTTGCCTATGGTAGCATAGGAAGCACAGTAACACTGTAGTTCTGGGTGTTATATACAAGTGCGTGAGACAACAGTGTCTGATTTAGGAGTTTACTGATCAGTTGCAGGGGAAGCAGAATGCGAACTTCAGCCTGTTCTCCTTTTACTTTTTAAAAAATAATTTTAATTTGGGGCTTTTAGGTAGGAGACTTAACCCCTGCTTCTTAACCCCTTTTCAAAGAGACTATTAGTCGTTTGTAGTAAAGATGAACTTACTACACAAGCGAGCTTGATGGATCTCCAGCCTAATACACAGCAATATTCCTGTATCCAGGGTAGTCTGAAGCATGCAGGAATAAGGATAAAAATGGAATTTAAGAACGCAGCCTCTGCTGAGCTTCTTGCTCTTTTCTGAGGAGTGAAGAACCTTAGTGAAGTTGCAGCATTGATTGCATAGGGTGTTCCTCGCAGGCCTCAAATAGTATCATGAAAGGTTGTGGCCTGAATGTCTGAACTAAGTATATAATATGACAATTCTGAGGGCAGTTGTCTTTTCTGGTCTTGGGAACTTGAAGCCCTTATACAATTTTATTTCGGTATTTATTAGGGTTTTTTTACATTTATAGTAAAAACAAGACATGTTCGTAGATATACGTAACGATTAGTAAGGTAGCTAGAAATAAAACTTACTACAGTGTTGATGAAAGAGATACTTTATTTGGTTATTAGGGAGAAAAACAACACAAACTGTGTGTATTAAGTTGTTATAACTTTGGAAAGCTGATGATGTACTTCAAGCCCCCAATTTTTAGCATGGGTAGGTCTGTTCTAAGTGCCTGACGTGTCAGTGATTTTTTAAGCTGTCGTTTGTGATCAGTTGTAACAGGACAAGTTTTTGTTTGTTTGTTTTTGTGAGAGTGAATCTTGTGTTTAAAAACAAAACCACTGTATTTGTAGACTGGCTTTGAGAGCAGGTCTACCTGGATTATCCTTAGCAGAATTATGAAAACAAAACAAAACAAACCCTTTGGTATGGTTGGCACAGCTATTTAGTTGTTGTACTGTGTGCATGATTGGATACTAAATACCATGCTTATTTCCTTCTTGAGTCATTTAAGAATGCTTAGTGCAGGTTTATGGATATAAGGTAATAAGAACACCTGTGGCTGGTATGCTATATCACCAGTAGAGGCATAGCAGTGAGGGATTTGAATTAAAATAAAATGAAAATTCCTAAGTCTTCAGTTTACATTTTTACGTAATAGTCAGTTGAATGATTTGATGTGAACTTGCAAATGAAATGATCGTCAGCGGAAAAGATTTGCTCACAATTTATTTTACTGTAAAAAAGTTTTTGGTAACAGTACGAAGGAAAAATGTAGTATGTTAAATGTCTACTGACATTTCTAACAAAATAGCCTCTTTTCAAGTTCTACCCTTTTCAGCTTTACACTTAAGCAATAACTATGGGACATACCAGTCTTTGGTTTGGCACAACTTACTAGGGAGCTTTCCAGCACCGGCTAAAGGCTATTGACATTTCTTGTGCTCTTTATATTTTGGAAAGAGCGTATTTAGAGACAATCCAGGTATTTCACAATCAAGTCACACATTCCCTTTGCCACAGCAGAAGTTTTTTACGAATAATTCTTGTTCTCTGGTTGCTGAAGAAAATAATTTTTGTCCCTCTAATTAACATTTTTATCAAACAGTCAAAATGGATGAAAAATTGTGCAGTCTAGAGGTAATCCGTTCTCTCCAAAGTTGTCACAGAATCGAGCTTCTCAGAGTTCTAGTCTTGAAGCATTTTAAAGTAATTGCAGGCAGTTAAAGCATCTGTGCCAAAGACTGCTCTCATAAGCCGTCTTGGCTTTGTACATCGCTTTATGCTCTCCGGTCCTTGGCTAAATGTTTGGCCCTGTGTGAGGAAGAGAAGTAACGTGTAGCCATTGTTTTCTGTGGAGAGAGTCTCTTGGAACCAGTGCATGTCTCAGATGGAGCTTAGCTGTCTAGCTACAGGTGTCTAGCATCATTTGAGATGCCCTGAGCTATCCTGGTTGATAATCATTTTCTGCTCAAGCAGGGCGTGGTTCTCCTGAGGTTTTGTCTTCTGTGCCAGCTCTCCACAGATGCCTTGGATACCACAAGACCGCCAAAATGGCTCTAGCTTCCTCTCTTTAGGCTGCTGCATCCCACCTTTGTGTTTCTTGAAGCTGGCTTTTGTAGAAGTATTAATAACAGATAAAACCTGGGAAGGGAGAATTCAGTGTTTTAAGCTGATTGATTGACTGATCTGTTCTTCGATGATTTTGTATTATAATCACTTATTGCAGACAAACGCTGCTTACTGTGGATTTTGTTTTGTTCTGATGCTTAGACTTCTTAGTGCAAAAATCTATTCAAATACAACCTGATGAATTCAAAATAAGCAAATAAATACTTTTTGTTTTGTCTTTTCACCTCTTACCTCGCACCCCATACCGAATCTTGTGCAGTGACGTACGGGACAGTGAGTTCCAGTATGTACTATTACACCAGGGTAATGTCGCAGCTCTTCCTGGAAACACCTGTATCAAAAATGGAGAAAACTGATTTCAAAACTTTGTCCACAATGGACGACTTCTGGAAGGTACTCTATAAAGAAATCGGTATTTCACTGTTGCTGTGATTTGTTTTGTCCGGATCTGTGAACTTAATCTGCAAGGTCTTTTTTTAACATCGGGGGTTTGTCCATGAAGATCTCTTTGTGTATGGACGGTGTCAAAGCACTAGAGTAAAATTGGCCTTAATGTGTCAAAGTTGAGGATCTAGATAATGCCAACGGGGCAGGGCAGGGCAAGGTTAGGGAATGTCTTTGGCGGATAGGTAACACTAAGGCAGATACTTTGCCTTAACATCAGAAGAATTATCAGTTGCAGTTTTTGCATTTCAGCAGAATTAAGATCCGAGACAGCGCTGGCAACATGCACACAAATTCTTTCTTCCTTCCCAGTTCACTGAAGGCCCTTTGCTGGATGGTCTTTACTGGGAGATGTGGTATAACAACAAAACCATGGCCGAAAACAAAAGCTTCATTTATTACGAGAACCTGCTTCTCGGGGTGCCTCGCATTCGGCAGCTGAAAGTGAGAAACGGTTCGTGCTCAATACCTGAAGATTTAAAGGATGAAATCAAAGACTGCTATGATGTCTATTCTGTAGCTAATGAAGACACTGCTCCTTTTGGGCTTCGAAACGGAACAGCGTACGTAGTACTCTTGTAGACACATAGGCAGATATGAATTTCCCTGTCCTGGATATACTGAATTTCTGCTTGACAGAGGCAGCTCTGTAATTGCCACATGTTCTGTCTGTAAAGCCAGTTAAATATGGAGCAGCTGCCAATTCTGTTTATGGAGAAACTTTCCCAAACTTGAAGAGGACTATGTTCTTAACCCACTTGAGTTTAGGTGCCGTCACTGTGCCATCGGTGGCTGTTTTGTTTCAGCGTGTGGCAAATGCTATGTGGTCTAGGTACAGCACTCAGAGTCATGAGCACCTGTTCCATAACTCAGGGTTGTATTACTGAAATGGGTTTTGATGAATCATTTTCCCTGGCCAAAAAATGGGGATAGTCCTGTTTCTCTTGGAGGACAACGTGTGGGTTATGTTGTAAAGGGTAGCTGTATAAATGTTGATTGCGCACGCGTGCGTGTGTGTGTGTGTATTTTCCCCCAGGAGGATATAAATGCTGTAGAAGTAGATTGAAATGTTCTCTTTTCACAGATAATCGACTTGTGACCTGTCCCTAGCTTACTTTTTCTTTCTGTTTGTTAAATGAGCTTTGTAAACCCTTTCTCCAGGGTACAAACATCAGAACTTTCTGCAAGTATCTCTTAATTGAAAGCAACTTTAAGTAACTGATGCAGGGTGTTCTGTTGTTGGTTTGTGGGGGTTGTTTGTTTGTGGAGTTTTTTTGGTTAATTGTAAGTAGAAAGTGGAAAGACTGATTTGCTCCCTCTCACCACTAGTTGGACATACACCAATGAGAAGGATTTGAATGGGAGCAGCCACTGGGGCTTGATTGCCACATATAGCGGAGCGGGTTATTATCAAGACCTCTCAAGGACCAGAGAAGTGACAGCCATGCAGATTGCTAGCCTTAAGAAGAACCTGTGGCTGGACAGAGGCACAAGAGCAGCTTTCATTGATTTCTCCGTATACAATGCAAACATCAACTTATTTTGTGTTGTTAGGTATGTACAAAACCATTGACAGTGTTCACCTTGCACAATTGGGGATTTACCTGTGATGACTTTGTTTTGAGGGCATAGGTAAGTGTATCTGTTACTTAAAGGAGAACTTGTTCCAAACGACTTAAATGCCTCCCACTGGATTCTTTCAAACTGTGTTCCAGATGTCCCTGAAAATAGAGCTGTGTTCTTTGATCTGGGTAGGACTTTTTCTTTTCTGTCTTCTCACTGGTGTGCTTCTGATGGTGCTTTGTGGCAGGTTTCCCTTTCAAAGAAGTGGGACTCCATATTGTAGCTGCACTCAACGTCTGTAGGCAGTTGCGATTCTCCTGATGAGTACGTGTCAGTTTGCAGCTGACTTGTCTACTGGCCTTGCTGACTAAAGTGCACAAGGTAGATGGGCGACGTCAGTCTTTCATTTAGCTAGCATGTGAGAGATGAAGATGCAGACAGTTCATTGTGTCTCGTGTTTTCTCACTGTTCTTGAAATGTCTTAGGTTTAATCAGAATTGAGTGAGCAGTACTCAGGTTTACACTCTCTCTTCTGCATAGTGTCTTACTTGAATCATATATGGGCTTTTTCCTGTCTCCAAAATAAAAACAATTATCTTAAGTATATTCAGTAGTGCTTTTCAAGGACATTGTTTCAATGAAATGGCTTTTTGTTTTTGTTTTTTTTTTTTTTAAACAGGTTGTTAGTGGAGTTTCCAGCAACTGGAGGCCTTGTTACATCTTGGCAGTTTCAGCCAGTGAAGCTGATTCACTACATCTCTACTTTCGATTTTTTCCTGGCAGCCTGTGAAATGGCATTTTGTCTTTTTGTTCTTTATTATATGGTGGAAGAGATCTTAGAAATTCACATTCATAGACTGCACTACTTCAGGAGTCTCTGGAATTGTCTTGATATCCTGATCATTGTGGTAGGTAACATTTACAATAGGGTTAAAATTGCTTTCTGAAATGCTTTCTGTGGGAGACATGAATGACTCAACATTCATATTGTGAATTTAAGGGATAGGGCTATCGTCCTATTTGTCATTACTTCAGGGAGGATGCTTACAAGTTACTGAGCTGCTCGGTGCGAGTAAGACAAGTTTACTCTGTGCTGTAACGTCTATGTATCTTGCAGACTTGCTTGCTCTGCCTTTTTGAGTGATTTCAACCTTCATCTTCTGATGAAAGGTATTTTGAGTATTTGTTCAGTATACTTTCTCCTGGTTATTGTAAATATGGACACAGCCCTCATAGGAGATAAGAAACTCCCCCACGTTTCCCTTCCGCCTGTCTGACATAAGCTATCGCAGTAGAAAATCGTCTCCTTTAAAGCGGTGCTTGGCAGTTGGAGAAATGGAAGAACATTCTGAATATATTTGCAAAGAGCGACTAACAAGTTTTATTTGATATTAAAATACTGACCAGCTAATAGCAAGCTTGAGGAATAGCGTCTCGTAATTGTAGAGTCCTAGCAACTGTCAGGACTGTTTCCTTGGTAAAGGAGACAGTGTTACCAACAAATAGTGTCAATCTAGCAGAAAGTCTGGGCTGTGATTTTAAAGCGGCACACCATAAAGCACTCTTTGCATCGAGCTGTTCTTACCAAAAGTATACAAAGCCAGCAGTGCTGAAACAATTCCAGGCCTACTTACGCTCATTTTGTGTATTCAGGCTTGGACAAATCTAAGGTTTGCGTATTGAGATTGATACTTGTAATCTGGAGAAATTATGCTTGCATCACAGAGCTTTTGTAAGTGAACTATTTAGGAAGATGTTTACTTGAACCATATGCCATTTTTATACTTAACAGGGGAAAAATGAGACACACTGCTGCTATGGTCAGTGAGGTGTGTTCAAGTCTAAAATTCAGTTCACACAGAGGGTTGTATTCTACGTTTATGCTTTGTCTGAGGGACCTTGTTTAAATTTAGGATTAGATACTTCCTGACTGTGTACAGTGAAAAATTCACTTATACCAATTAAAAAAGATGTCTGCAGAGATCAAGGGAAGAACCTTATCTGTGGGGTAAAACTACAGATTCTCTCTTACTACTTTTTATGGGTGGTATTGATCAGTTTGTACTCAGGAGGAGGAATGCTACTACTTTTTTGGCCGTTGCTATGTGTCTGCTCCTCGCTTTTTCCCCTTTGTCTTTCTCAGTCTGTGTGGGTTGGGGTGGGGGGGGGCGTTCTTTTGTTTTCCTTTACACTTACTTCTCTGCAACGACTGTATTTCTGAACCCACTAGGCTTCAGCATGATCTTGTTCCCCAACTGTGGCAAGGGCGAGGTTTGCATATGATCTTATTCCCAGGCTATTTCTCTGTAGTCGGGGATGGTCACGGTTGTGTTGCGGAATGCGTTTCCTGTTTTGTCCAAACATCCACTTTGGATCTTATCTCAAGCAGCAGCCACTGCGCTGTTTAATTGCTCCTGAGTGAAAGGTGATGAACTCCAGCCCGCTCTGCCTCTACAGTTGCCTGGCTGTAAGCGCGGATGTACTCAGTGACGGGTCGGGTTGACCCTCCTGAAGGATCAGGAGAAGCTTGTACCTCTGACTTGATCCTGGCTCTGTGCACTCCCTAGCTGATATTTTCCCATTTGGAAGTTCAGCTCTGCAGCCAGGAGACCTTGAAACAAAAAAAAATATATATATTTGCTTTTATTTAAAGCTCGCACTGTAGTACTGTTATGAATAGCATGAAGTTCCTCCTGTCTATCTTGATCTGACATAACTGGCTAAAACCAATTGCTTTAAAACTGTACTTCTAAATCGCCTTTCATATGTTTGTTTATTTCTTTTCTACTCAGCTCTCTGTGGTAGCTATAGGAATTAACGTCTATAGGACATCAACTGTAGATATGCTCCTGAAGAAACTACTGGAAGATCAAAACTCATTCCCCAATTTTGAACCTTTGGCATATTGGCAAATACAGTTCAACAATATTGCTGCAGTCACTGTGTTTTTTGTCTGGATTAAGGTAACTCCAAGACATGCATCCTTACTCTAACATTAGAATGGAAGCATTTGAAATGTTCTGAATTTCGCGTGTTTATTTCAGTGAGTTCTGTCACGTTTCTCCTAAAATCGGTCATGGCAGGAAGTCAGAGCAGAAGGAAGACTTCTTGCAGATTAAAAACAAGGTTATAATTTTGTCAGTGGTTTAGACAGTCCTTGTTGAAATCTAGAGAATACAATCAGTGCTGCTTTGTCACAGCATCTATGTGAAGAAATGTTTTTATTATTCTTGAGTTGGTAAGTCAGTGCTTCTTATTGGGTACTGCTTTTTCCCAGCCTGCTTTAACTGTGCCTGTTTTATGCATTGAAAATTTCAGAATCATTAGAAGAAGTAGTGTCAGTCCAATTCAGATCCAAACCAGCTACAACATATTAGTTAATCTCTCCATCTTACTGCCTCTTTTCTGATGCTCCTGCTCTTCATTTCCACACTCATTTAGTTGTCCTCCATATGTAAAAAGTTGCAGAGGAATATTTAGTTAATGAATTGTCTAATAGTAGAAAACTTAAGAAAAACGATGACTGAATTTCCACTCTACTCCAAATTGATCCTGATTTATCAAGCAAGCTAAGTGCTCTCCTTCTGCGTTACAAAACAAGGCTGCATGTAATTTTTACACCACAGTTTAAAAATTGAAGTGGCTCCTTGTAAGAAATAACAATTAATTGCATAATCACAGAATAATTTGGGTGGGAGGGGGCTTCAGGAGGTCTCCAGTCACCTGCTCAAAGCATGCTCAGCTCTGAGATCAAAGCAGGTTGCTCCTGGCTTCATCCAGTCAGGGTTCAACATTCTTGGCTTTTTATTACTTGACTTCTAAAATCTTCATTGAAAATATTAAAATTAAGGCTCATTGAAAATATTAAAATTAAGGCTTTTTTCCTCTGACCCTTTAGATAGGTAAGTAGACTTTTGGTAGCATCTCAGTAACACTGCTGTAAAAGTAGGGGAATGGAGGAGGGCAAGTGGACAGAATTTCCTTCACGTTTCAAGCGTCAGCGTGTTTGGGAGGCGATATATTTCTAGTTGTAGATTGAATGACTTTTTGTCTCCAATCGAATTCAGAAGGACACTTCCTGTGTAAAAGCCTGGAAGGCTCTTGTGGTAAAAAATAGTTGTCGTCTTTGTCTTCACAGTTATTTCTTTTTTCTTTTAACAGCTCTTCAAATTTGTGAACTTCAACAGAACGATGAGTCAGTTATCCACTACCATGTCTCGCTGTGTCAAAGATGTCATTGGCTTTGCTATTATGTTTTTTATTATTTTCTTAGCATATGCTCAGTTGGCCTATCTTGTCTTTGGCACTCAAATTGATGACTTCAGCACTTTCCAGGACTGCGTGTAAGTACAGTAATAAATGCAAAGAGATTGTCAGTACATTGGTAAAAGGATTTGGGTGCTTCATCAGAGACTAAACAAATCCTGTAACAGCCATCTAAACAGATAAGCTCTAGGAATCTCACTGTTGATGTAGCGCAGTAGCAATAACTTTTAGAGAGGCTCTTCTTTATATAAATTGTTTAAAAACTATCTCCAAAGCTAGGCTAAAAATAGAATGTAATTAAGTCAGTGAACTAAAAATGGCAGGTTTTAGCTGGCGGAAGGTTCTTACAGCAATTGGTCAGCAGCAGCAACCCTGTCTTCAGCAGCTGAGTGACTGTACAGCACCCTATAATGCTTGCTAAAACTTGTATGCATAATAATGCTGTTTTCCTGATTTTGTGTTTAATTGGTTGACTCACAAAGGGATTCTGTGTTTAACAGCCAACTAGTAACTTCCTAAGTATCTGGCCAAAAATGACGGGACTTAGTTGAGGCTTGTTAATCAGTTTTAATCAATTTTCCCTTAAACTGATTTCATGAACCATAGTCGGATTCAAAGTGAAGTAATTACCAGGTTGTTCTGTTACGGGCTTTATTTTATTTTATGTTACTTCCCCCGCCTTCCCCCCCTCACCCCCATACTGTGGTAGGATGGTGCAAAGTTTCCTGTTTAGAAGTGGAGGAACTTGAAATAGGCTGGTAGTGCTGCGAGCCTCTTTCAGCCTTGGCATTGTCCCGGCACCCTTGAGACGGCGAAAGGTTGAGCTTATGTATATGTGAGAGGCAGAAGGGTTAGGGGAGGGACAAGGTCGGGTCTTAACGCTTCAAAATGGTAGTCGTTACTTTTCACTGCTTCCTGGTGCCCCCATCGTCAGTTGTGACCAAAAGCCAGGGTTAACTATCTTTAGTTCTCCTGAATGTGTTGTGGAGTTCAGTTATACTTAGAGGTGGGCATGAAGGTTTGACTGTTGCAATGCTTGATCAATATTAAAGCAGTGCAGATCTCTCTGCTGCCCATGAGCCAGACTCTTACACGAAAGCAGACTGAAAACTGCACAGCTCCAAAAGTGTTTTTCTCAATTCCTGGATGTGTTTTGTATTTTAAGATTTACTCAGTTCCGCATCATTTTGGGAGACTTTAACTTCACAGAGGTTGAAGAAGCTAATCGAATTTTGGGACCAGTTTATTTCACTACATTTGTGTTCTTTATGTTCTTCATTCTTTTGGTATGTACGCCTTTGTTTATGTGGGGTGGGACATTTGTTTTTAGGTAAATTGCTGTTTTTTGCATCTCGTGGTGGTGGTGGTTTTTTTTCTGCTACCTGGGGCTTATTTTGGTAATGGTACGTGTGCAGTACGCATGGGAGCCTAACCTTTGCCTGTCACTACTCTCTTTTATTTTTACTTCATTTAAAATACATTTGTAGTGTATGTTGCCACTCCCTTATAGTGCTTCATGTTGTTGTTTTTCATTATTATTATTACTGCTACTACCCAGATTTTTTTTTATTAGTATTTCTAAAGTCAAAACATTGACCTGCTTGTGAACAGCATGCACAGCAAGCCCATACCTTTTGGTGAAAAGTACCTGTGTGGCCAGTGGTTTCACAATTGCATAGTTTGTGCATGCAACACACAGCTTGTCTGTCGAAGAACCTAAGTCATCAGCTATGCAGCAACTTTCTGATGTGGAAGTTTCCCAGCAAAAAGGCCTCTCTGCTTTCCTCTTGCTTTTCCAGGGCAGAGTTGAGTCCTGTCTTTCTCTCCATAGTGCAAATGGAAGCTTAGCTTCCCGGTGCAGGATACCTAAGTATTTTTTGATGAACAGTATTTTGAGAGGCTCATTTTATCTGGGAGGCAGTTTGTGGACATGGTACTCTGCCAAATAAGTTCAAAGAGTGAATATATTGTTAGTGAGCATGGGGGGTGTGTGTGTGTATCCATTATTAATACTGCTATTGAATTTGTATTAGTCTTTTTAATGAGCTATATAATATGAAGAAGAGGGAGGAGACCTCCCTCCTAGATACCTAGGAGACCAAGTAAACTCATTTTTATGTCAATGCAAGTAAAGAGTCCCAATGTATTCTATCTGTACATCGCTCTCAGTTAGTTTGGTACTAACGTTACTAAACAGTAATCTCATCTCTAATGATATCACTAGAGTGACACTGCTGATGAGAACTAGAAATCCTCAGATTATTCCCCAAACTAGGTGTCTCTCAGGGCTTTGATAAGCTGGCAACTATTAAAATAGGCTTTAATTAACATTAAAATTGGGCATCAATCCTATGTCATCATAACTATAATGATAATGACCTCTTGTACCTAATTAGGCTTTTTTATTATTCTTTGGGAGGAGGAATAATGGAACTGGGATACTGTTTGTGCACGTGATAGGAGAAGACCTTATCTAGCTATTCACTAGTAATGAGTTGGAGAACCTTACATGTTCAGTGGGATGAAAAAAAAATCAATTGGCAAATAGTATATGGGTCACTCTAACCAAAAAGTACATGAAGCAGGTGTCAGACTTGCCCTGGAACACTTCACAAAATCGAGAGAAGTGGAGGCTAATGATCAGCAAAGGAGAAGTAACATTTTTTTTTTTTTTTAATAAGGGGCAGCAGGAAAGTGCTAGTTAGATTGCGAAGGCACAGCAGATTATTCGAAAAAGTAACTACAGGTCATGTACTTATTAAGGTGTGCAGATCCTGCAGTCTGTGTAGACTGAAATGTTGATGTGGGCTCCTTAAAACCTATCTGAGACCTAGTAAAATAAAGCTAGAAAAGACGGGCCGGAAGCAGCATCCTTAGCTCTTACTGTTGGAAAGTTGAAAGCAAAATGGATATTAGTAAAGTTATCTCTTGTTTTTCCGATATTGGGCAAGAATGGATAAAGACAATGAAAAATTGTTTTTCTAAAAGCATTTTTTTTCATTCGTGAGGAAATACTGGTGCAGGAAATACTGCAGGAGAACGGCACATTCGATATGCCGATAACTTGAGTAATTCCTTTCTGACTTG